GAGTGATAAACATGATGCGCCACCCCGCGAGCGATGCATCAGGTCCAATATGCTGGAAGCCATACGATACAAGTCCACCGATGATCTGTCCGAGACCTAGACCGAGGTACCAGAACGAGAATCGAGGAGCTTGCTCTGACTTGGTGTACCATTGGCTGCTGATAAGCATCAAGGATGGGCCAATGGTGGCTTCGAAGATTCCTAGGAATACGCGAGAGACAAGAAGGGTCTGGTAGTTATGCGCAGCAGCTCCGGATGCTGTGGCAATGCCCCAAGCGATAACATTTGCTCCAAGCCATTTTCCAGCTGGAATCATCTGAAGGAAGTAGACTGAGACGCGTTAATCAAAATCTTTGCAAAGGACAAGGCAAACTCACTGTTGGGGACCTCAAAGCAGAGAAGGCCAACGAACAAAAATGTCGCGATGTTGGAGAAGTCGTTTCCCTGAAGCTTGAGATCTTGATTGAGACCCATTACAGCAGAATACTATAATATCGTCAGCACACAATCCCATCCTACGATACGTTGCACTTACGTTGAGAATGACCTTATCAAGGAACTGCATCGTATAGCAGCAAAACATCAAAGGAACAATATGCCAGTCAATCTTGCGTCTCATCCTGTCAATATCAACAGCCTCCGAAGCTCCCGCCGCATCGCGATTCTGATCAAGAAACTTCCACGCCGCGTCGACATTTCCAGCGCCTGATTGTGGCGAGAGAGTCACATGGGCCTCCTTGTTGGGAGTACTTGGGTGAGACATGATGAAAGAACGTGCTACCAGAGGGATGCGCGATACAGAATGGGAGAGTGATGAAGTGAAAAGAAAACAATCGCTATCAGGAAGAGAAAAGAAAGAATGGTGCTTAACAAAAGTGCAGATTGGCGAGAATATTGCAGATCCTAAAACAGAGCCGAGTTAAAAACTCTACAAGAAAAGAAGGTGGCAAACCCCCATGCAAAAGGAAAAGGGTGATATCGGCCACACAACTTAATCTGAAACTCCTCCGGCATCGCGTAACGCAATGTGACATTGCAAGTGAAAAAAACCTCATGCGAAATCTCCGATCTATGCAGTTGGTCGCAAGGACGAGATACAAAAAGTACCCTGCAGAGTGTTGGTTGCACCCATGTAAAATATGCAAGGTAGGGTTGGAGTACAGACGCTGGCTAGGGGGGAAAAATTCTGCGGAAAGGCTTACACCAAAAATCACTGTTTCTCCTCCAAGTCGTTTCCGCAGTTTTATTTCCCCTTGAGGGGGATTGTCAAGACAGCGTTCTATAAGTGGACGGAACTGCTCCATGTGCAAGGGATGTATCACTCATTAGCCGTGGCTGTGCATAAAATTTGTTTGTCCTGGGTATAGAAGGATTCTGGCTTTATAGCCCCAACTAGTAAAGATCATGCTCTTAATGGTTTATGTGACGAATTGTATTAGCAAATGGACCTTGAGGGCTTGTCGCAGAGTTCCGCAAAGGCACATGCAATGAGAAGGGGTGCGCGGCTTTGACACGGGCGAAACAGGGCTTGTAGGTTTTCATTTACGAGGGCAAGCCGAGTTTGGGTGTGGCTTTCTCTGTATCAGCCTTTTTGCCTGTGCGGCCTAATGTGCAGATTAGAGGTGACTTATCCGACCATCGAACTTACTTAGACTTTATTCTCTTTTTTAGTTAATACGATTGCTTTGACTTCTCGAGCTTTCCCTTTGTCTTGATCCTCAATCGTCATTCTAGTTACATAGCGGCACGATGGGCTGGGTCCTAAATGCTACCCCCGAAGTGAACAACTCCTCCGAATACCCAACAATCATCGCAATCACCGTGGTCCTCTCGATCCTCGCGTCGTCAATCGTGGGTGCGAGACTATGTATCAGATGGAAAGCTCGTGGTCTTGCCGGCGATGACTGGATGTCAGCTTTGTCAATGATATTTGCCCTGATCTACTCCTCCATTTGCATCGCACGTAAGTTTGAACCGCCTATTATTCTACTGATGCATATCTGACAAAGTCTAGAGACAAGATATGGCCTCGGCCTTCCTATACCCGATCGACCGAAGGAGAATCTGATACCATATACACGAATCAATTTTGCAGGCCGACCATTCTATCAGCTTGGTATCAGTTTCTTCAAGATTGCTTTGTTGATTAGTTACCTGCGTCTACTGCGAGGTACAGACCACAAGATCTATCGCACGGCCATCTGGGTGACCATCGCACTGGTCTTTGCTTCGCATCTCGGATGCACCCTTGCGCTGATCTTCGCCTGCAAACCCGTATGTATACTCCATACTTCAAGAATCACAGTCTTACACTACATAGGTCCAAAGGTCCTGGAACCCGCTCATGGAAGGCAAATGTCTTGCAGCAGGACCATCATTTACCGGATATGCGGTCGTAACCATTGTAGCCGATGTCGTGGTCGCAGTCCTACCAATCCCAGTCTTGGCGAAGCTCGAGATCAAACTTGCGAAGAAGATCGGCCTCATTGCAATCTTCACACTAGGCATATTCACAACCATCTGCTCAGTCCAAAGATACCGCCAGATCGACCGGATCCAAAACCCTAAAGACGGCAATTCAACTATGTTGGTACTTTGGGGCACGATTGAGTTCAACGTCGGCGTGAGTAATTTCTCCAGTCAACATGTGCCGTGCTAACCTTCACTCAGAACATCGTATCGTCACTACCTTTTCTGGCTCCCATTTTCTTGAAGAGGGCTAGACAATACAGATCGAAGCCATCGGACTACAATATGCCAAGTCACAGCAAAGGGTTGAGGAGTAACGGATACAAGCTCAAAGATCTCAGCAATCCTGGGAAGCGGGATACATCATTATTTACTACAGTTGAGAATGATTCAGGAGCTGGAAGTCAAGAGAATATCTTGGGTCACGGCGGTGGTATAGTCAAGTCAGTCACGTATACGGTGCAGGTAGATAGAGTGGCCCAGACGAAAGGCGAAAGCCAAGAGTCGGACATCGCACGAGTATAGAAATGAGAAGGCTCAGAATTGTCGCGGCAATTGTTTTTTCTAAAGCTTATCCAAATTGCAAATAAATTTTGTTCAAACCTTGAGTCAAAAACATCTGATCTGAGCCAAACTCGGCAGCTGGTTAAAGCCCTGCACTAACCCTTGCACCGTGGAGTACTACTGCAAGGATAGCCCCCTTGTTCCGGGACCTCCCCGAGCCGACAGTCCCGACAGGGAGATCATCACTGTTGAACAGGCACATGCTAACCGACGCGGAGATATAACGCTTTTCCGGCTGTTACCTGGTAGGAATGGAACGCCCGTCGACAGCCGATGAGTGTGAGGAGAAGGTATATGTACCTTACGTAAGTGCCGGGTAAATACGTCTGACGGATGATGAAACCTGCACAATTCCTTCCAAAACCACATGCGACGTATATCGAAAGAGTTCTCAGCGTCATGTCTCCCAACCAGGATCAACCAGTCCTTGTCATCGGCGCCGGTATCAGCGGTCTTCTCTTGGCGCAAAGCCTCAGCCAGCACGGTATTCCAGCCCGAGTATTCGAACGTGACACCGATCTTGAAACTCGTGGTGCAGGCTGGGGACTTACCCTCAACTGGTCTCTTCCCGCCTTGCGATCACTACTACCGGAGGATCTAGTCAACCGTCTCCCGGAAGCGTATGTCGACCGATCAGCTGTTGCAGAGGGTCTCTCTTCAGCATTTCCTTTCTTCGACTTGAGTACGGGTGAATTGATAGCTTCAACGCCGAAAGCACCCGAGTCAAGCCGGATTAGGGTCACGAGGCAGGGTCTGAGAGATATTTTAGCCACTGGGATTGATATCGAGGTAGATGGGAACCGAGAAACTTTTAATTCTGTGCCATTGACATTGTGTTTTAGTGGACCAAGGCACTAAAGGGTATCACTTCCAGCCCAGAATCCGTCACCGCGACGTTTGAAGACGGTACATCCGCAACAGGATGTCTACTCATCGCATGCGATGGAAGTCACTCTCGAGTCCGCCGTTCACTCTTCTCTGATTGGGACATGTACGATATTCCTGTTCGTATGCTCGGGATGAAGTTGGAATTATCGCCAGAACAGATCAAACCGATCCGAGAACGGGATGCATTTTTCCTTCACAGTACACACTCTAAAAATGACATATTTGTGTACATAAGCGGTAAATCCCATCTGTATCTGCTGCAAGAGTGATGCTGATTATTTGATAGTACTCGACGCACCTGGAAATCACGAGGGCAGCGCGCATCCATACGTCCTTCAGGTCTGTGTGTCATGGCCATATCGTGAGGGGTTCTTCGGCAGTTCTACACCAATCGAGATTCCCGAAACACCTGAAGAGACATACAAGCTCGTCATGACCTTCGCAGAGACGTGGGCCGAGCCATGGCGCTCTCTCGTTTTGGGTATACCGGCAGACACAGAAATGAAAGGCCTTAAGCTTCAAGATCTTCCTCCACCGAAGGACTTTCAGACTCCGGGCCGAGCTGTGCTTATGGGAGATGCCCTTCACGCTATGGCAATGTGTAAGCTCTCCTTCACAATGTTTGCCTTAGATGACTAACAGTACAGACCGAGGGGAGGGCGCGAATCATGTAATTCTCGACGTAGAAGACTTCGTACAGCGAGTTGTTCCAGCTCTGAAGCAAGGTGGGGAGATGACAGACTTGAGAACTGTTTTGGACGAATATGAGAAAGCTGTCGTTGACAGAACTCGTCCAGCCGTGTTGGCATCGAGAAGGGCTTGTATGGATGCACATAACTGGAAAATGATCAGTGAAAAAAGTCCCCTGTTGACGAGACGCATGCCGTACATCGAGTTCGAGGAGGATAGTTAGAATGAACGATAGCGTTTGTCATTCTCTAGATTATAATATACGGGATACAGTCCCTCACTATATGAGAATTACCACATGAGAAGAAGTTTATTGTCGTAAAAGGGCTTCGTCTTTCATGCATGTCCCTACATAGAGCAAATTCTGTTCACGAGATCCACAACTCAATGGGGCGCTGGCGCAATTGGTAGCGCGTCAGATTCCAGCACAATTCAAGTTGCGAGATTCCTGAAGGTTATCCGTTCGAGTCGGGTGTGCCTCATTGTTCTTTTTGTTTTGTTGTTGTATGTTGTCTCTTGGTCATTCTATCACGAAATCGCATTTGTCTTCAGAATTTCATTTTTTTTCCCCAAGACAAAACTCTAGTGACTTTGAGTAGCACTAGTGATTCTTGAAATGTCTTCCAGTGGCCCAACAACAAGACATCCTTGAGTACAGTAAGCCAAATGATGAATGACATATCAGCCAAGAGTAAGAACCATGTACACGCCGGGAACACCTCACCATTGGCTTCTGTATTCTCTGCTGTCTAGACAAGACTGTCCTAGTGACTGAGTCATTATTAATCACTAACGTTAAGTAGTTGTTCCACTTAGCTTGACCCCACTAGGGGGTGAGATTCCTCGAACACCATTTTCCCAAAGGGGAAATTCACGACTCAACAAACCGACAACCCGCGCAAGCGCATAACCCGAAGGAATCTATTGGTAAATGTTATAGACACGATGGCAGTGCCCGCTGTCAAGACACTCAACTTGGGTGCCTCATACCGGTTTTCGGACGATTACGCGTTCCCGAGTCGGAGGAATCATATATCAGAAGGAAAATAGCCAGGTGCTTGGGGTATATAAGAAGCTTGAAAGAGTCCTGTCTTGTTTTCCATCATCACCAAGCCTTCAAACAGAATACCATCTGATATCATGGCCATGGCCGATACTCTCAGTCTCCAAGGCAAAGTAGCCATCGTCACCGGCTCAGGTCGAGAGAACGGCATTGGCGCTGGAATTGCCCTTGCCCTTGCTCGCAACGGTGCCTCAGTGGTAGTTAACTACGTCTCTGACTCTACCAAAGGTCGTGCGGAAGTCGTTTGCAACAGGCTTCGCGAAGCAGGTGGACAAGCCATCGCCGTCCAAGCTTCTGTCGCCACCAAAGAGGGAGCTCAATATCTCGTCAACAAGACACTCGAGGGTTTCAAGACCGATCATATCGATATTTTGGGTAAGTTTTCCACAAGCAATACTGTCAATGCATCTAAATGGTGTTAACTATGATAGTCAATAATGCGGGAACCGCGCACCTCTGCCCTATCACTCAGGAGCCTAATGTCGATGAGTTGACGAAGATATTCCAACTCAATGTCCTCGGCGCGTTTTTCATGGTTCATTACGTTATTGCCCACATGCCCCCCGGCGGTCGGATTGTCAATATCAGTTCCACGAACTCCAAGAGAGGGAATGTCAACATCTCTTCTTACGCCGCATCCAAGGCCGCCTTGGATAGCTTGACTTGGACTTGGGCAGCAGAAGTGAGTGATCTTGGCTCAATGACTAAACCTCGGAAACAATGACTAACATACGTCCGTAGCTTGGCCGTAGCAAGGGTATTACTGTCAACTCTGTGGCCCCCGGCCCCGTCATCACAGATATTTATCCCAAGGGGATGGAGGTGGAGCTGAGCGCAGAAGAGATTTCTCTTACTAGGGCTGCGGACCGCGCGGGAACACCTGATGACATTGGTGATGCTGTGCTTTTGTTGGTCAATGAGAAGTCCAGATGGATCACAGGACAATATATTGGTGTCAGTGGAGGAGTAACCTATTAGTTTGCCTCCCGTATCTCAAGGGCTGTATTGTTATAGATTCTTCAAACTATTTTCAACATCAGATCGAAGTTGCGCCATCTCTGATAACGCGATCTTCTCAATCCACACAACCCGCCGTAAACATGACATCAAGTCCGTCCAAGACCTCACTTTGAGTAGTGACATGACCTGGGCTATCTGGTCCAAGAACCATAGCCTCGGAGAACCCGTTTCTATGCAGGAGTGTATTACCAACACCCATAACTTCAACTCCTGTCGTCCAGTCCAGATGTTATCATCGATCTGTGTGATCAATAGCTTGACAGGAGCCCTTCGGCGGGATGCAACGTAAATTGCTTCACCCGACGTTTGGGTTACGACTATCGCAAAGAGTGAGAGAATGGACAGGCGTATAAGCTCTGCTACTCCTGAAATGGACCACAAGTTTTCCATGCCGCTTTTTCTTGTGGAATAGTCCATACAAGGCAATGACAACGCTTGATGTGCCATAGCGCACGATGGGATAAGAATATCCAGTTTCATCCCACTCTTTTGACAGACATCGGTCAACAAGGCGGCGAGCTGCGACGCCAATTGGAGAGCGCTGTCGATGATCATCGAAGGGGTTTTGTTGTAAGGTTCCGAGTCCCGGAGTGAAGCTAGTAGTCGCTGAATGTATCGCGATCGGGAGACCTTGGGTAATGCGACAGTGTTTCTAGGCAATGGGAACCTGGGCCTCGTGTCTTCAAGCACGGAGCCGAGAAGGTCAGCACTATCATCGTCGGTTAGATGTGTTTATGCAAATGTTAAATGGCCCCTACATGAACAACGATTGCCGTATAGCGGGGCGCGAGTCTAAGACTTCAACGCCCCCAGCCAGCTCAACTATCCGTTCGAGTCCAGCCATATGCATCATCCACGATTCCGATTTCCCAACACGCATCTACTCAATTAGTAAATGACCAGTACATAGTATCGGGAACTCACATCAAATACAGCAAGACAAATCACCGTGCCAATAATAGCGTTCTGACTTGCCTGGCTCTCCGGTGTGATGGCCTTTCGTACCAGGCTCACAGACTCCGTATACTGCTCAATCTCATCAAAGGTTTGAGGATCGCCAAGGCTCTCAGCAAGTCTCTTACGCAGCTTACAAGATGGATCGACAACCGCTATAGATAAAAGTCCTTCGGATACCATGTCCATAGCCCAAAATAGCTGCCTAAAGTTGACGCAAACTTTCACATCGCCCCAATACGCTGGAATTGACACTGAATTGCTTTTTGGCGTTGTTGTAGTCGCTGTTTGGATGGAACCCAACCTTCTTGAGCGTCCGATGTCTTTCATCACATGGCGACGGACTTTGCGCTGTGTGGTCTTGTCTTTGGCTTGTGCTGGATTGTTGACGTGGACGAATGCCAGGCTGGATGGATTGTTCTCGAACTGAGGAGGGCGCTTCTGAGGTAGGGGAGTCTCTGCCAGCTTGAACCTGATCTCCATTTTAACTATTGGCAGTTCCTCCAAAGATGATATATGATTGTGTTTGTCTACTTGTCGTGAGATTCTAAGATAATCTTGAAGGAATCCTTCGAACGCCACCAGTTTTATTCTTAGCTTACCGAGACGGGAATGGAATTCGTCCGGCAAGGTGATTATGTCATCCGGCAAGGTCCACTTAGGGACCTCAACAGATTGGGTAGGATGACCATCTCTCACCGTTAATAGACTGGCGTTATAATGGCAGAACGGTATTGAATAACCACGGTATAAAAATTGCCGACTGCCGACTGTCGGCTGTCGCCGTGTCCGTAACAATAACTGCAATACCAGACATAAAGTGTTCAAGAGCGTGGTTTTGCTCCAAGAGATATAATCTGGACCTAATTATATTTCCGATCTGTCTATAATGGTAAATGGTGAAAGCACTACGATTGCTTTTTGCTCGAATTCAGCGTGCCATTGATGCTTGCATTCTCAACTTATTACAGCGTACGTGGTCAGATCCTCTTGTATTCGTAGCCGATGTATCTTATTGGAATGAGCCAATCTTTTTTAGCCAGTCGTCCTTCATCCGTACTTAACAGATCAAGGACTTACCGACCATTCGATGGACATCAATTTGAAAAGGAACAATAATTACACGTCTACTTATGGATCAACATACCCGGGACCCGAAATCACCACAGCACTATCGCACTCAGAATTTGGTAAATGGACGGGTCTAGGCACATCTATTAGAACTAGCAACTTCTTTTCTTCTGCCTCCTCGGAAGCTGACACGCTGAACCATCCTATTCCGAGGAATCTCATCCAGTAGAAACCCCCCAAGAACACGGACCCCTTCCTCATGCCAAGCCCCCGAATCTCAGCTTTATGGAAACAGCATAGCGGCAATCTCCTAACATGACGACAACAGATGAAAGGGGAATAGATCCCAAGCGCGGGGAAAGTTACTTTGCCCGCCATCCAATGGGCTACCTGGAAGAAGCTGACAAGCCGATAAGATATGCCGATAGTCACTTTGTTCCTACTCCGTACTCTACTCTAGCTATGGTCTTCCGAGGATTGCTCCAGTTCCCCGGATTTCCAATACCCCGATTTTTGTAGTGAGGCAGACGAGGCCAGTCTACCCCGGATCCGACACCAAGACCCCGCTCGTGGCGCATTAAGCATACGCACGATCAATTGAACCCTTGCTCAGTAACGAACTACCGAAAGTCTATAAAGCATGCTATCCCAGGAGCCTGGTTCCAGTCCTACTTATCCTTCTCCAGCTTCATCTTGTCTAACATGGAACACAGCACGCGAAATGAGAAGTTGCAGAAAGGAGCGGATACTTCGTCCAACTTGACGGATTCGGGTGGCGGAACGGTGGAAGGGTTCGTAACTCGCGTTTTTCTTTTGGAACTGCAGATCTGACTGTGGGGTAGTGTCGAGAATGCGCAATTCTATATCGACCCGAAAGTAGAAGCTCGGCTTCGTCGAAAGATTGATTGGATGATCGTGCCGACAGTCTGCTTGTTGTACCTCTTCTGCTTCATCGACCGAGCAAATATCGGTATGTTATCGCGTTCCATCACCTCATCCCGATATTGACGCGTCTCCAGGAAATGCCCGTCTTGCCGGTTTGGAAGAAGATCTCGGAATGAAGGGAAACGACTACAACCTAGTCCTTTCAGTCTTCTACGTCAGCTACATCGTTTTCGAGATCCCAGCGAATCTGCTTTGCAAATACATGGGCCCAGGCTGGTTCATTCCTCTGACGTCCCTCGGCTTCGGACTCTGCTCCATCTTCACGGCGTTCGTTTCGAATGTTCCCGAAGCATGCGGCGTACGCTTCGTCTTGGGTATTTTTGAAGCGGGCATGCTACCGGGAATCGCATACTATATGTCGCGATGGTACAGGCGGTCGGAGCTTACGTTCCGATTGTCGTTGTATATCGTCATGGCGCCGTTGGCAGG